GTCTCACCTCCCCGCTCCCTCCTTTGCCTCTACCGCGGCTCTGGCCCCGGCGCGCTCCGGCTCCGGACTTTTCATTCATCCTTTCACACTCCCTCTCCAGGCCATCCTCTGATTGGCTCTACCGCATCTGACGTCACCGCCTCGTTCCCCGCCGGCCCCGCCCCTCCCCCTTCCCGGGCCGGCTCGGGAGCGCAATTGGGGCGCCCCTCCCCCCCGGAGAATGGGGATGGGGGTACTACTACGTCTCTGTGCTGATTCTCAGCCTCACGCTGCCTCAAACACCCGAGACCCGCCTGCCACCTCCAATCCATTGCCATTTGTGGTTTTGATCTCCAACCTCACTCATTTTGTAGGTTCTACATTTTCCATTTTGGCCCTAGGTATGCTGCACCAACACGAGGGCGCACAGATGGAAAAGAGGTCAGGTGAAAGCCCCTCAGAAAGAACCAGATGACTGCAGACTCTACTCCTACCTGCCTCCTCCCATCAGAATATTCTTTGTGCTTCTCTGGTACCCATGCTTAGCATACTGTGGGCCTAATCTTTTAGAATGGGCAGGAACCCGTCTTGCTGCTTTTCAACTCAAAACAATGAGGGAAAGAGTCTGGAAGTTTGGGATTCCTGTGGGGAGAGCGGGGCTGAGCCTCCTTTTCTGCCTTGCAGAAACTGAAATATCTCTTGAATGTGTTCGCAGAACCAAAGTTACAGGTAAGGGAAGCTAGGGTGAGGATTCCAGCTGGCATCAGTCAGGGCAAGACCCACAGATTTTCACCGAGCGTGGAGGCCCTTGCTAGCGCTTTCGTGCCCTTCTCCAACAAGGTGAGAGTTCCACCTCTGGCCCGCGGTCCTGCTCCAGCTGTCTGGAGAGCTGGGGTTATGGAAGGAGGATCGCCCTCCAGCAAGGTTCTGTCTAGGACTTTCTGGACCTGGCTCCTTATCTGACACAGCGCGACATTCCTGTCTCGGCCTCTCTGCGCTGGGAATCAGGGCCCAATAATGCCTTGTCTCAACCTTGAGAGGTATCTGAACCCCGCTGCCCTGTAGAGCACACAGAATGAGCTGTGGGCCCCTACCTGAGCTCTGCCAGGGAGCAATTCGAATTCCTGGTCCCAAGGCACCCCACCCTTGTACCCAATCTACTCTCCACTGCCTTACTAAAAAAATAAAAATAAAAATAAAATGAAACTATGACTCAGATAGCTGGAGCCTGTCAGCCAGATGAACATGGACCAGCTCCTATAACCAGGGATCCTTGAACACTAGGCCACCAGGGGTGTGCTCCAGGGGATGACCAGTTTTGTCATCAGGCCCCATCAGATTGTTTTATCTGCCTGTCTGCACAGCCCAGGACAAAGCCAAGCCTGAAAGCTGTTCTTGGTTAGATGCAAGCCTATGGCCAGTCAATTTAATTTGGTGCTTCCCCCAAAGATTGGAGAATATCTGAATAATTACTTCAGCTGATGTTGGCAACATGACTACGGAGCGGGGGGCAGTTTGGAATAAGATAAAGCCTGGGAGCCAGATGTTTTCCTGCCAGGATGATAGCATGAGGCTGAAGGAAACAATCTAACTTCCCCAGGCATTCGCACTGCTGGGCTTGGCATAGCTTCTTCCTTCTGTCAGTTGCCATGGGTTTTCAAGGCCCTTACCTAAGTGAAAGGCTTTCTAGATGCTTCCACAGTGTCAAATTTTCACCCTTCCAGAACAGGGAACACACTAGCCAATGATGAGAAGGGAAGGAAAGAGACAGAGATGGTGTCTACTCCCTATTTGGTTTCCTCCTGCCCCTCCCAGGTGCTCCTACAGTTTAGAATGAAGCACTGAAGCACTCGGGAGCAGAGCCTTGGGGTCTGCTGTCTCTGCAGCAGAGTTGCAACAAACAAAAAACCAAAACCAACCAAACAAAAAAAGAATCCCTCTCAAACAGTCTCACAGATAGACCTACCTCCTGGTGTGCTGCTAAAGGCATTCCCTAAATGTTTACCCCATCCAGCCAGGAAAAGCTATAGCTTTCCAGCCATTCCCCTCCATGGCTACAAATCCCCTCAAAGATTTCTCTTGAAACCGTGTCATACCCATTTCTAAGATGCTTAATGCCCTCCAGACATTCCAGCAATTCTAGCTAGGGCCTATGCCTCTCCAAACAAACTACCAACTCCCCCTACAGATAACTCCACATTTGCCCTTCCACAAGATCCCTTAAAAGCACCTTAAGCAAACCTTCCTCCCAATCCACCCTCCCCTCACCAGCACCTGGGAGGCTGGGGCCAGAAGGGAAGAGTGGGCTGTTCTGCTAGCTAAAACTCTCCCTTTTCTCCTCTGTTACCAATTTCCAACCCAGTTCCCTGTCCTCTGTGGGGCCCAAGCTTATCACCACGATCCCTTATCCTGGCCCGGGCTGACCAAACAGTAGGCAAGAGGCAACTGGAACAACATGAACCTTCCTTCTCTTTCAGCCACTGCTGTATTTTTATTGGAGGCAGAGAACAGAAAGGTTTTTTTGCCCATCAGAGGCTCCCCCACCCCACCTCTGTTGGCCAAATTCAGACTCAGCTGGACATCCTCAAAAACCAAGGTCAAGAGAGAAATGGTTACATTTAGATGCCTTCTGAAAATATATCTAAATTTCTCCAAGTAGCTTTTTAAACAGCAAGATCCCTCTGCTTCTTAGTGAGGCTTTGGGTTCTACACAGATAGTTCAGCCCAAACAGAGTGTCCAAATGCAGGGAGGAGAGACTCCCAACAAAGGAAAACAGAGATTAGTCTAAATTGTCCTGGGGCTACCCACATAAATCCCCACTTCTGTCAAGGTTGCTGATGAAGTAAGTTTTTGTTTGGTTTTGTCTGGGTGTGCTCGGCAACCCCGTCTTCTCCCACTCCTGCTCAAGGATAAAGGTGAGGAGGGCATCTGTCTTTATTCCAATGGAGAAAGAGCTATCAGCCATGAAAGAAGCAGAAAACTCCCACCATCATGTTAACTGGGATTGCTTTGAATACCATTGTTCCAGTTTCAAAACAGAAACTACTTGGAGGGTGGCAAATGAGACAGTCTCTCCAGAGCAGGGGGCAATGTCACACATATTCTTGTCCATGGTAGCTAACACTTTGCTAAAGCATAGTGGGTGCCCAGTAATTGATCAATTAATAGAGACCTGTGTACCTCGAATGTGCATTTGCCATCAGGCAGACTGAGGGCATTAGGGGTAGGGAGCGAGGGTCTTGGTAAGTTGTGTGTTCTATGGGATCTGTGGGGGAGGGGGAGGGGAGAGTTGTGTCTATTGTGTTGTGTGTTCCTGACTATTTGATAGCTCCTTTGACCAGAGGAGATCCTTCTACTAGATACAGCAGGCCTAGAAAAGTGTAACAGCTGGAGTAAAATGGGTTCCGTGGGTGCCCTTGGGGCTTGGCCCAGCAGCCTCAGTGTCCCTGAGAAGGTCTCAGTTGGAGTAGAGCCCTCTGATTCCGGCACACCGCACAGTCAGCTGGAGCCTTCTACAGGCGATGGACTGCAGACCCCACCCTGAGTCCTTCCAGGGAATTTCTAGGGGCTGTGGGGAAAGCACATCGATTCCCTGGAGCTGATGTGAGTCCGTAAGTGTCTCCATTAGCTTAGGGGCCCCCATTTTTTGCCATTGCCCGTCCCCACCCCCATCCCTTATAGCCCTGATGCCCACCTATTGTCTGTGTGCCTGAAGAGGCCCATGTGGAGAAAAACATGGCCTGAATTATGCTCTCTGGATGCAGCTCTTGGACAGATCTTTATAATTTGGCTCCAAAATACATTTTGGCAGTCAAGCACTTTCTTGAAAGAGTCAGGTAATTAAATAAAAAGCATATAATTTTTCTTTGTTTCAATTACCAGGTTAATTTGCCTTGAAGACACAGATGAAAGCTGCATTGAGGAGAGGGTGGATTCAGATATTTATTTGTCTTATAAGTGCATCATTATGAACAATATCATACATTTTTTTTGCTATAGAAATCTGCGTTGTCTATGGGATAGTGACAAATAAAAGCAAGAAACAGCAGTAAAAAATACTAAGGTGTGTGAAAAATAATGTCTGTTCAGATGGGCAGAAAAGGTTGGAGGTGTGGAAAATAATCTTGAGGATTCTGTTCCTAGGGATGCCATCCTTCTTCCTAGAGAGAGCAGCATTTTCCTCCCACTGAGGGGCTAGCTTGAGAATTCCTTGGGCCTGTGTAAGTACTGCCTTCCTTGCCTGTTCCCAGTTCTGTTCTTGAGCCCACACATTGCTCACTTGCCTGAGAGTGCTGTGGTGTCCGAGAGGTGAGAACAAGGTGGCAGAGATGGTAGAGGGTTGGCTGGTTCATACAGATTGAGCCCTTTCTACAAGACCCTCAACCATCAGCAAATGGCCTGCTTAAAGGGCATAAACATGAATATGCAAGGGTGTTGCGTATCTCTCTCTCTCTCTCTCTCTCTCTCTCACACACACACACACACACACACTCTCTCTCTCTCTCTCTGTCTCTCAAATTTACCAGCTCAGACCAATGCAGTGACAAATCCACAGATACTCCCAGCAGGACCACCTCCCAGTGCTTGCAGCTGTATACTCCCGAGCACATATCACTCACAGTTAAGTTCCTTGGGTCCCCATTCACCATAACCCGCACTGCTCTTCTTTCTCACCTCTGTCACCCAGGTACGAGTATCTCTGTTCCCTTCCCCAATCAACCATCTCTCCCCGGGTCAGTTGGTCACCAACTCTGCCCTCAGGAGCCTATGGGAGAAGGGGAAAGAGTTCCCTGTATCCCCAGTGCCTTTTCTCTCTATTATAGAACTGAAGCAGGGTGGCCTATCATTGACTATGTAGGCCTAACTACAGTTGGAGTAGACCCAAAATCAGGGGCTGAAAGCTGGAAGAGGTGGGGAGTGGCGTAGAGGGGTACAGAGCACAGGAGAAAACATAGGTGAGACAGGGCCAGTTTCCCCCCACCCACTCCACATCAGAAACAATAAATAAGAAAATAAATACCCCAGAAGCCATAGGTGGCCACCTACGATGACACCAGAAACAAATGAGGCGGCTCCTTCTTGGATGCCCAGCTCCTGTCAAGGAGGAGAATGCAAAGGTTAAAGTCCTTTGAGAAGCCCAGCCTTCTTTCCCTGACGACCCCAGCCTTCCTGTCACTCTCTCGGCCACTCTTTTTCTCCTAGCCTTGCATCTTCAGAACCTAGACAGGCTACGTCCCCTCTTAATCGCCAGGCTTGAGGCTGCACAGGGGGAAAGTGAGAAAAGCCTGGACATGCAGGCAGCGCTCCCCGCCTGGGCCTCTCAGCTCCGTCTCGCCTGGGCAACTCTAACCCAGCCTTATCCTCACGATCTCTCATCTCCATCCAAAACCTTTGGGCCCAGGGGTCTGGCCCACTCTAAACAGGCTGTGGAGATCTCAGACTTAAATCTAAGGAAGTCATCTCCTGCCCAAAGGACACTATCTCCTTGCAGATTCCTGCTGCCTGGGGTCTTTGGGAGAGCATGCTTAGGACAGGATGAAGGGGCTAGGGTTAGGGATATATTTTTGACTGTCTGGATCTAACGCACTGTAAACTGTGAAGTGCTGTGCACATTTACAATATTCTCAGTGATGGTATCTCTCTAGCTTTCTCCACTCATCTCTGTCATGACCTGTCTACCTATCACCCATCCATGAATATCTCTCAAGGTCCTGCAGTGATCAATTTTCTCCCTCTCTTTTTCACTCACACAAAAGGTGTGAAGAAGAAGCATTTATTTTTTATTAGTGTTGGGTATGAATCCAGTCTCAGTATGTTATAGTCTTATCTTCCCAGAATTTTGCTTTCAGGTTAAATTACGATTTGGGGGAGTGGCATGTATACTGCAGGCGACCTAGCTCCTAAGGTACTATGATGAGTGTTCTACATGTATATGTTTGTGTGTTTGTGTGTGGGTTGGGGGAAGTTGGTGAATTCTTCCATCTCAAACTCAATTCCACAACTAATTTATTTTTAAGTCAGGAAGATAGCCTAATTTTTTTTTTTTTAATGTCAGGAAGATAGCCTACCTAAATGTAGGAAATGAGAAAAGAGGGGGGCTACAGAGCACGGACAAGCCTTACATCCAAGTCTGATTTCTAGGAGGGGTGCTTTGAATACCACCCCCACTTCTAACACTCACAAATACTCACTTGACTCCCATCCTCCGCTCTGCCAGCCCATCCATTTCATAAAGAGATGCCTCAGTCTGAAATTATCTTCATACCAAAGAAGGGGCTACCCCCACCCCACATCAATTTGGTGACATGCTAGAAAACAGAGGCAAGGACAGTTAGGGGGCCTCTGGCTCCTCCCTCCATCCTAATCAATGAGAGTTCTGGGTCCCTGGGGCAGTTGTCCTCCTCAGCACGGATCTCTGCCCTGCAACCCCCCAACAAAGCATACACAATGCCTAGGGGAACATGGTGATGAAGAACACAGCCCAGCAGGCATGGAACATGTGTGTGCATGTATGATGGCTGGCAGCCTCAGCCTCTCCCAGCAATCTGGCCTCTGGGGTTCCAGGAATAGCTTGCTCCGCTCCAGCCTCCATTACCCCACAATGGCCCCAATCCTGTCTCCCAGAAAGCACAGTGTGGGTGGGGGACTAGAGGCAGCAAACGTGCCTTCTTTCTATATCTCCTGGCCTTCCTTAGGAAGAGAAAACACACAAAACAAAACACACACACACAAACCCTCCATTAGATGGGTGTGAAGAGGGTGTTGGAGTAGGGCTCTCTCCCCTTCTAGACCCTAGGCATTTTCCCCAACATCTCACTTGCCTCTAGGTTCCCCTCAGCCCCTTTGCCACCTACCAGCTCACAGAAAAGGAGGGAAAGGGGAAATTAAATGAATCTAAATCCTATAAAATATTTTTGGATATTTCCCAGTTCTGCTTTCCACCTTTCTTTCTTGGGGGGAAATCTGGCTCCTTTCCCCCCATGTTCCAAGCCCCCCAGACTTGGTCCTCCCCTAAAAGCTGAAGTCACTAGGTCAGACAGGAATAAGA